ACCGAAATTTACGTTACTTTTTCGTAGTGTGTAGATTGGAAGAAATTTCTGCAGAAAGTTAGCAGCCAATGAATTTTTGTTTAAACTGATCATATACAAAATAAGTTCAAACTTTAAACCGCTTTGCGGCACCCCTAAATCATGTGCGATTGAGTCCAATATTTGCATACGGCCTGTTTTCGAGGCTATGCACATTTGAGTTGATGCATATATTATGTCACTATTAAATGCTGTATTTAAACTAAAAAAGATTGTTTATTGCCGTTATAAAAACCACCATAAATCAGGCTGTTGAATTGTTACTCGGGCACCCAATATGAGTCTAGAGCAGCGCTGCCCAACGTGCGGCCCGCGGGCCGGACGTGTTTTCTAAATCTCAGCAATGATATCGTTCTAGCCTAATTGCATTCATTATTATGAAATCTTGATGGTTAGAAAGAACCGGAACAGCAAAGTTTAAAAGTAGAATGGATTTTATTTAACGACTAGCTTGAGTGGAGTCTTGAACAGGAATGAAAAGTTTTTCACCGTTGTTTATTTAAGAAAACTTAGGTTGCTAGGGGTGACGTTCGGTCTCCAAGGAGGTGATCAGCACACTGCGTTACCGATTTACTCCAACACCCCCCCTGAATCGGTCAGTCCTAGGAGGGTCCTCAGTTCGCGGAAACGTCCAGGTTCCAAGGGCTTGGTGAACGTGTCCGCTATTTGGTTTGCTGTATCAATTGCTTCGATTTGAAGTCTTCCTTGTGCCACATGGTCGCGCAAAAAATGGTGCTTTACATCGATGTGCTTGACACGCTTGCTTTCGGTGTTTGTGGCCATTGCAATGCACCCACGGTTGTCTTCGTACACCTTGAATGCCGTGTCCGGTCGAACTTGCTTCAGGTCTTCAAGGATTCCGTGCAGCCACAGCATCGTATACATCAGGCTGCCCAGCAATTGACGGTATGGATGCGACACAGGATTCGCAGCTTGTGGTGGCAGGAAACAGCCTTTCTCCATTGGGGTTTTGACATGGTTACAGTCTTGCATGCCGAACTTCGTCAGCACACGGTCCACAGCAGCTTCTTGCGCCAGGTACATGCATCCGGTGGCGCGGTCGTATCGGATCTTCATTCCAAGGAAATGATTAACCACGCCGCAATCCGTCATCTGGAGCTTCTTGGAAAGAGCACGCTTGATCTCCTTCACCAGGTCCAGTCGATCGCCAGCAATGAGCAAATCGTCCACGTAGATGATTATGTGTACCCCCCCTCGATCGTCGATCCTGGTATATAGACAGTAATCATGCCGGGAACGGGTAAAGCCGAAATCCAGTAGAAGGTCGTTTAGCTTGTTGTTCCAACAGCGGGGGCTTTGCTTGAGTCCGTACAGCGATCGATCCAGCTTGCAAACGAAGTTCGGCGGTGCTGCAACTCCTTCGGGTATGGCCATGTAGACGTCTTCTTCAAGCTCACCGTAGAGGAATGCGGTCTTCACATCGAGTTGGTGAACGTGCATCCTTCGGTGGGTTGCTACAGCAAGAACGGTTCGTATCGTGGCTAACTTTGCTACGGGGGAATATGTTTCGTTGTAGTCGACTCCGGGCTTCTGTTGGAATCCCTTCGCCACCAAGCGCGCCTTGTAACGGATCGGTTCGCCATGCTCGTCCGGCTTGATTCGGAAGACCCATTTCGATTTGAGCGGAACCACACCAGCAGGGCATCTCACCAATCGCCAAGCATGGTTGTCCGCTAGCGACTGCAGTTCCTCACGGACCGCTTGCTGCCAAAGAGCTTCGTCGGCTCGTCCAGCGATCTCCTTGTACGCCTCCGGGACATCGAAGATCGAACGCTCGGCCTCATCTCGTCCAACGGAACCGTCAAATAGTACATCGGAAACGTTATGGGGAACATCTGCAGAATGGGATTGCGCGGCAGTGAAAATTTTTCCAACCAGAAATTCTTTCAACTTACCGGGGAGTCTGCGCTCCCGTTCGCTGCGCCTCGGGGTTTCCATTTCGAGGTTTGAACCACGGTCTAGTTGCGAAGGGAGCGCTCCGGTTTCTTCAACACCGTCGTCTTCAACCTCGCCTTCTTCATCATCAGTCAGGATGTCGTCATGTTGAGCCACCAGCGGCTCATCGGGTTGAACGGACTGTTCAGGGGTTTGCACGTCTTCCTCATCTTGATCCTCGAACTCGTACGGAGCAACAACCAAAAGAGTTTCGTCACGGATCTGGGTGGCAAACGGAAAACTGTTTTCATCGAACTTGACATCTCTGGCTAGGAATAACTGCTTCTTCTCTTTGTTCCACAGGCGGTAGGCGTTCGGCGCATAGCCGATCATCACAGCAGGCTTGCTTTTCGGATCCAGTTTCTTCCTCTGTGCCGTGGACACCCAAGCAAATGCTTTACAGCCGAACACACGTAGTTTACTAACGTCCGGCTTGTGACCAGTCCACATTTCCGCAGGAGTCTTCCAATCAGATACCGCGGTGGTTGGACTTCTGTTCGTCTGGTATACCGCCGCTAGAACCGCTTCATTCCACAGATTCTTCGGAGTTTGGGCTTCAATCAGCATCGCACGCACCTTTTCGACGATTGTCCGATTGAACCGTTCGGACACTCCATTCTGCTGTGGTGTGTACGCTGCGGTTGGCTCGACTTGGATCCCCTTGGAAACGTACCAATCACGCTGGTCATTGGAGCAATACTCGCGCCCTTGGTCGACAGTCAGCTTCGAAATCGAATGTCCCAGAGCGGCACTCGCCATGGCCTCGTACTCTCGAAACTTCTGGAACACCTCGGACTTCTTCTTGATGGGATATACTACTGCAAAGTGCGTGTAATCATCAATAAAGGTGACGAAGTACCGAGAATCATCCCAAGCCGCTGGTGTAATTGGACCGCACACATCGGAGTGCACTCGTTCTAGAGGTCTTGTAGCACGGACTCTAGTACCCGTGAATGGTTCTCGGCACTGCTTTCCGAGAACACAAACATCACAAAAATCCAATTTATCTGGTTTCTCGGGAATACCTGTTACCATGCCATGCTTCGCGAGTGTCTGCAAACTCTTGCTCCCCAAATGAGCCAGTCGACGATGCCACAGGTTACCAGTCACAGCTCCACACATGTCGGCCGCCACCGTATCGACACGGAGATTGAGCTCGTAAAAATCGCCCCGCATGGGACATCTCGCAATCAGGTCACGACCTTGCTTCATGATCGCTTCCTTTTTCGTGAATGTGACATCAAGATCCGCTTTTGCCATCTTCTTCACAGATAGCAAGTTCGCTCGAAGATCTGGTACGAAGAGGACGTTCTTCAAGCTGATATAGTTACCTTCCTTGTTGACGCCGTTGATCGTGCCACTGTGCCGGGAAATCAGGGATTGATCATCCTTCGCCACGTTTATGACGACAGGGTGCTTCAGCTTCGTGAGGTCGGCGAAACAGTGCTTCACATTCACAAGGTGGTCCGAGGCTCCGGAATCCAGCTTAAAGGAAACTGCTCCCTCGTCCTTTGTTTGGGAGCATCTCCCGGTCATAAAAGCCACCGCCTTACCTCCAGCAGCAGTGTTAGCTTCAGCGCGCCCATCTGTCTTCAACTTCACACGACAGTCCTTGGCCTTGTGCCCCTTCTTCTGGCAACGGTTACACTTTCCGGTGAACTTACCAGGCTTCTGCTTCGATCCTTGGAATGCTGCAGGTTTCTCTTGGCAGGAATCCGCTGCCCGGTCGGTTTTCTTGAGCTCCTCGGCAAGAAGGCGCTCGCGAACAACATCCAGTTTTAGGTTTTCCTCACCTAGATTTTCCAGTGCCGTAACCAACGGATCGAACGACTCGGGAAGGGTAGCAAACAGCTGGGACACAATATCGTTCTCTTCAAGCTTCGCTCCGGCCAGCTTCAGTTGTCGGATCAGCTCTTCGAAGGTTTTCAGGTGATCTTTTACAGACAAACCTTCCATCATTCGTAGCTTCGCAAGTTGCTTCCTGACGAAAGTCTGCGACGAGACGGACTTCTTGGCGTAGGCGGATTCAAGGCTCATCCACATCTCCTTGGACGTCTCCTTGTCCCGCACCAAATGCAGCAAATCGTCATGAACAAATGACGTCAGCAGGAACGCCGCCTTACCGTCATCTTCCTGGAACTTCGTGAGCTCGGCCGCTTCCATCGGAGGATCCTTCTTGATGATATCCAACAGCTTCACGGACTTCAGATACTTCTCCACTCGAAATTGCCAATTGTCGAAACCGGTGCCCGAGAACTGCGGGATCCCGTGGACCAAATCCTTGCGTGAGTCGCCCATAACCTCTTGATGGTTAGAAAGAACCGGAACAGCAAAGTTTAAAAGTAGAATGGATTTTATTTAACGACTAGCTTGAGTGGAGTCTTGAACAGGAATGAAAAGTTTTTCACCGTTGTTTATTTAAGAAAACTTAGGTTGCTAGGGGTGACGTTCGGTCTCCAAGGAGGTGATCAGCACACTGCGTTACCGATTTACTCCAACATGAAATTTAGCCCAGCACAAGCTGACGAGTGAAACGGGAAGAATAGAAGGTGCATAGACCTGAGAGTTTTTCCCTAGATACGTCAACCTAGCGGAAGGCACGGGATATGCACTGAACATTTTTTTTTCCTTTGGTTTGTTTTTTCCGTCGATCTTGTTTTCCGTGCTGAGCATCAATGCTACCGACGTGCCAGGAAGGCAGCTCCCACACCTGGACCCTACCTATTGACCCATCAACTCATGAACCGAGGACCAACGGCTTTACTTCCCATCCGAAGGAAGGCGTGATCAGAAATGTTATGCCTCAGAACATTCCGGCGGCGCCGACTGGGATTGAACCCAGGCCTGCTGGGGTTAGAGGTAATCACGCTTACCACTACACCACCGGCGCCGTTACACTGAACAATTAAAATTACATTGATTAAGAACCAATACGGGTATCGATTAATGGACTTTCTCAACTTTCTTCTTCAGTTAGCATTTTCCAATAGGTTTACTTACTTTATTCAATCAAATCTCACATAACTTTCGCCACACGGTTGCCTTTGTATGGTGTGTGTGTGTGTGTGTGTGTGTGTGTATGCTTATAGCTTTTTTTCTAAACAAGTTTGGCAAAATACAATTAGCTACAAGATATCCCCTGAAGCATCGGTAAAATATCATCTTTTCCATCATACTAAACATTATACTCTCAAAGTTTTTTTTTTTTCCTTTTATATTCGCTTCTTTTCTGGTAAATTGCATTGATAATTGCATCAATTGTGATTAGCCTAAGTTGGTTGATTGATCTGAAACAATCTGTTCTTTTATTTTTTACAACAACTACGAATCACTACGACGACAGCATCATCTTAAACTCTTCCAGGCTCCATCTCGGCTGCTACATAAAGCTTTGCTCATTCCCTGAGAGACTGCACCCACCCATTGTGCGATGCAGTTTCCGCCACTCTTCTCTCAAAACATTTACCTTCTATAGCTTTCGCTTTTGTTTATTTCAGTTTTTTTTGGTATTAAGTTCCAATGATGCTCGTTTTCCATCTTTGTTTCACTACCTTTTCGTTATCCCTACCTCTCAGGACTCTACGGTTAAAAGTTACAGAAATTACATTGGTAAAGGTAAAGAAACAATCACCGAAAAAGTTACCTAACGCTAATGGTTGCAGCTATCACTGAAAGTATTATCTACGTTAATAGTAACTAAACTAAATATACTGCACTGCATGTAGTGTACTGAATCAGTATTGATTGCCGTCCGCTTTTTTTTTTCGTCGATTGTTTCAGTATTGCTGGAAAACTAATAAATTTAACAGTCTAGTGAGTTACACCAAAACTAATAAGTTAAGTTTTATTTTCGAATTAAAAACAGTTCCAATGGAGTTGTGTTAAAGATCCAATTTTTATTGATCGAGCGTTTTTCAATTAATGTTGCTTTAATTCTAAAAACTCTCAATAAAATAGGTTCATTTCAATATCAACATCATTCATTTTTTTTCTTACGAAACATAACGTGGTTGCACTTATGAAAATTTATCTAATAAACGTATTCATAACCTAAAAAGTAGTAATAACAGAACAAGGTGATAGCAGTCACGGAAATGATCGGCTGGGTGTCAGGAAGGGGTGTTTTCTTTTTCGACGTGACTGCTATGCGCGTTAAACGGTGGATATGTTCGTTTGTGAATCAGTTCTGGTAGTCTGGGAGCCACATCGAGGGGCCTCTGCTCGCTCACATTGCCAAACATCGAACTTACTGTGCCGTACCGTTGGTTACGCCCTTCTGCGTTTGCTGCTGGGTTTTGTATTGCTCAAACAGGTGCTTTATGTCCGCCAACGCCCGGGCAATCTGCTGTGCGAAGCGTTCCGAATTCTGTGGAAATTTTAACAAAATCATTAAGGCTTATGGATTTAGTGCTGTGATGAGGTCGTATTTATCGCTAATATCGATATCGGTCTCTGAAAATATCGATATAATTTCGATATCGGATTTTGAGTATCGACATCGGATCTGATATCCAATATTCAATGGAAAATACATTGAACATATTTCATCCTCTTACAACTTCATAATGCATATGGAATATCAAAAACATCGACATTACACAAACAAAAATATGCTATCCACTCTTCGAGCCTACATCGCTCAGTGTTCGCCGTGTTTTCGAAACCAAACGCTCTCAAGGGACCGAGGTTGTAAAATTTGACAGAAGTTTCAGAGCCACCAGGAACAAATATGGAAATATACTCTTCTTACTTGTCCTACGTAAGATAAGTACCGTAAAATAGCATATGTAATTAGTTCGATTAGTTCTGTACGAAGTGAGCTGTCCACTTCGGTTATTATTGCGTTGAACCATTCCCTAGTGATAACTCTATGCCAAAAAAGCGGTAGAGATCTTTCTCAACGGCTCGTCACGAACAAATTCTTTGTTACCAGATCCTTCGACTAGAGATACAACCATGTTGATGATTATTAACATCTAGCCGATATCGAAGTTCGATTATCGTTGATATCGTATTCTTAAATATCGGTTATCATATCGATAATTTATACCCGATATTTATCGATAATATCGGACTTATCGATATCGTCACAGCACTATTATGGATCAGCTTGCAGGGTGTTATCATCATCAAAATGTTTCCTGGGTTTGGATGGAACGTTTTCCATTTTAATTCGAACGTTGTTTGCCCTCATTTCCATTTGGTTGTACCGGATTAGAAAATGAAGATGACCCAAGTAACAATTTTGGTTTTATGAGTGTTCTGTAGACCATGATTTAGACTTGTAGAATGCTATAAAACCACGATAAAACTTGCAATGTTACTTGGGGATGGCAAATGATATTGCTGGATCACGAGGTGTTCAACATTGAGTATCGTGCCTATATCCCTGCCCGAGAAGTGAAGAGGTCTGATCGTGAAACATTCAACGAAACATGTTCTGCTTTAAAAAGCACAAAGAGAGCTCAAAATTAAAACAAGATAAACTCAATCCAGTATAAACAGTTTCAAAATCAATGTAAACATAAGCAACATTTTGGATGTTACCTAGTTCCGTAGCATGGAACAGAAAAGTTGACACGTTTTTAATTTTGCTGCTGATTTTGATTTGGTGATTTTAACCATTTTAATCATGTTAACAAACTTCCGATTGTTCAATTGTTCAAAATCTCATGGACGGGATCGAAATAGATCAGACCATGGCGGATGATAGTGAAAAAGAAAGATCCAGGAGCGGTATTTGTTGGGAGCTGTCTTAGCTGATGGGCAACGAAGATCCCAAGATGATCACGATGGTGTGAATCCAGCAGGCTTATAGTGATACCGAGAGATGCTGGACTGTTGCATTTGATGCATCTCTTTCCGAGGGCTAGCAACGAGTAGCGGTTTTCCAAAATCAAGATCCGAGAAACTTTTCTGAACTTTATTCGGGAGCTTCAAGGATTATTCGGATGAGATCGTCCCTTTTTATTTATTTAGCTCGTAACATTATGTTCCATATAAAATTCACTAATACAGTACTAAGAAAACAAATTGAGGAACTCGGCTAGCTTAGCGGCTGCTGGGTTTGCTTACTGTGCATAAGATCGTGGGTTTATTATCAAATTCCTAAAAAAAACAATCATATGCTTTTGGTTGTATCGCCTGGTTGAGGCGTATCCTGACCTAATACCGTACCCCAACTTCGTAGTACTTATGAGGGTGTCACTAATTCGGTGGCCTTTCGTTGAGTAAGTACACTGAACCAAAACATCTGCAATACTTCGAATGATTATTGCATTGCTCGAGCCCTTTAACAATATGCATTCGAATTTCGGATGATTTTCTTATGGTTGAATTCGTCGTCAGATGATGAACCTCCATATGACTGTCATCCAAATACAGGATGATTTTCGTTTAAAAATTAGCTATAAAACATACGGCACTCAGAGGACAAACATTTAAGAATAGTGTGACATGCAAGTGCTTTTAATAAGATTTATAATTTGATTATGTATAATTCCATACTGAATAGCCATAATAAGCCATTCCATCATGGATACAAAAAAAAAATTCGTAGTGGAGAAAACCTCCTCCACCACGAATTAGCCAAACATTGGTTTTCATCCTTTACCTTTGTTCGTAGCAGCTCTGATAGCGATGCATATGCTTCCACCTTGTTTGTCAGCTCAGATCAGCAAATGACGTTCGATAGAATTATTTACATCATCGTTTTGAATGATTTGCGTTATGGGGCTGATCCAATTCCATATGCATTTCCATTTAGTATGACAGTCATTCTGCAGAGAGCATTACGAATTTCAACTGAAGGCCCTATCCCTTCTCATTACAAGTTTCATCCAGTATTCGAGAGGAAAATCATCTGATTTCAAAACAACCGTCATCCGGTTGCAGCTATCATTCGAAAAAGCGATTTCGGTCTTTTGTTTTGAATGGTCTGAGGTTTCATTCGATCAGAGGATGATGTTTGTGTACAGTGTACTGCATCAACATTTCCTTTCCTATCCCTAGCTACGCTAAATATAGGTACACAAAAGGAAAAGTTCGCGAGTCATTGTGAGTTTTAGCGAACTTTTCCTGTAGATTGATTAGAGACCCGTTTTTTTTAGTTTATAGTTAAACACATTTTCTTTTCAGAAAGCGAGTAATGGCGCTATAACCATAAGCCATATAGGGCTAAGACAAGAGCTAGTGCTCATGTCCCAACCACTCGAGGAAAATGGAGCATCATTTAACTTTTTTAGATTAGATGCTCCCAACGACCAATCATTTATAACAACGGAACGTACGGTACAAGATGTCCACGTTTCATCCATTTATTGGATTCTGAAGCATCGTGTTTAAATCTTTGATTTAAACAGGCCCGATGTTTCTGAATCATCTTGCCCCTGAAATGCTGCACAGTAGGCCTGGCCGTTTTGATATATTTTTCAGGATGCTTTCATGAACTAGCTGTGTTGGTGTTAGATTAGATAGATTAGATTACCTAGTTCCGTAGCATGGAACAATATTGTGCTTCCTCATTAAGTTTGTTCAAGTACTTATTTTTTTTTTGCTTTTGCTGTAAGAACATAATACAGGAATCCCCGATTTACGAGATGGGTGGTGCCGTCTATCCACCGCCATTTCTCAACAGTATTTCAACCATTTGAGCTAATTTTGTGTATGTGCTTAGGGCCAACCACAAACTTGACACTCTCAAAAAGTCAGCTCAATTGATCACTTTAGATCAGTCACCTTGAAGCAGCATAGGGGAAACAGCCCTATTGTTGCGGTACGCTTCTAACGGATTCTAACGAGTGGACGTGACCATGCTACCGCGACGAACGTCAGCGTCATCGGTGATTTCGGTGACGCCGTCGACAATGAAAATTCTGCCGGCCCGAGTTGGGCAAAAATAAAGCTTCCTCCACTGGTGGTGAAGAATGTGCCACTCAACACCCTCATTGGCGATTTAACATCGCTGGGCATCACAGCGGAGTTTAAGCTCGGCAGGATCGGCACCAAGGTGATGCTCCATACGAAAGCGGAGTACGAGGTGGCCGTGAAATATTTGAAGGATTCCAAGGTGGAATTCTTCACGCATGACATCCATGACACGCATGACATCCCCGCGTTGCAACGGCGCTAGAGGTTTTTGCCACGCGAATGGCTTCGCTGTTCTACTATACCCCGGTGAGAAGCCCTTCAAGGTAGAAATCAGAGGCCTACCAAACTTCGACCCAAAGATGATCGAAGCCGAAATCAAGGACCGGTACAAGCTGGCCTCAATCACTGTCTTTCGGATGACGAGGAGAGACGAAAAATTGAAGACGTACCCGGATTGCCTTTTCCTGGTGCACTTCCAGAAAGAGACGGTGACGCTCAATGCGCTGCAAGCCATCCGCTCGATCTACTCCATCATCGCACGATGGGAGCCATATCGTGGCGGCCATCGTGACGTAACGCAGTGCCAGCGGTGCCTCAATTTTGGACACGGTACCCGCAACTGCAACATCAAGCAACGCTGCAGCAACTGTGCTCACGAACACGCCATTTCTGACTGCCCTGCGGATGGAACAGTGGCGTTAAAATGCACCAACTGTGGTGGTGCACATCAAGGTTCCGACAGACAGTGCTCCATTTAACCTCGAGTAAGCCGCGATTATCCGGCCCAACTCCTACTAGACATAGAATTAAGTGAATTTTGTTACAAACAAAGAACAATGAATTATCGGCTCCGTAAAGCTGACGCGATTGAGCCTTGCAAATAAACGAACTAGATAAAAAAAAAGAAAGACAGTGCTCCAAACGCAAAGACTTCAAACGCATCCGAAAGCAGGCGTCAAGCAACAATCAACCAGGACGCAAGAAGGACAAAACCCCAGCATTCAGAACGGAGGATTTCCCGCCTCTTCGTGCTCCCCAGCAAAGTTAAGCGAATTCGCGGGTACAAACAACCCCCCTCCCCCCTCAAGAAGCTTCCGGTGATTCTGCTGGCCAAAGTTCTCCATCCCCCTGGATTCTGGAGACAACCAACAGCGCAAAACAACAACCTCGATCTGTTCTCAGCGAATGAACTGATGGAAATTTTCGTCAACATGTCCGGTGCTCTTCATAACTGCCGCAGTAAGCCCGAACAGTTCCAAGTGCTCGGTAAGTTCGTCATCCAGTATGGTGTCTAAACCGCTAACTATCGTCACCTGGAATGCTTGCTCTATAAGAGCAAAAGAGGTTGAGCTTGCCGACTTCCTCCGCAAGCACAGCATCGACGTGGGCCTTCTAACCGAGACAGCTTCTGGTTGCCTGACCACAACATTATTCGGCTTGACCGCACCAGCTCCAGGGGGGGGGGGGGGGTGGTGTTGTGGTCGTCGTCAAGAAAGG